CTTCTTCTTTTTTTCATTTTTTGCTTGTAATAACTAGTTAAAGAGTGAGTTATATGTATATGTATATGTATATGTATATGTATGTGTGTGTGTGTGTGTGTATAATACAACATGTTACATTTTTAAAATTTTGTTTCTAAATTTTTTTATCATTTTTTTCTAATCTTATATGTGATTTAAAGAATTGAATTACATAATAAAATTTATTATTATTCATTATAAAAAATATAAGGTTTAATGACGAGAAAATTCTATCGCTATACCTATATTTTTTGTTGCTATTTTGTTTTAGTGATGGAATTACGATGAAATAATACCATCGGTAAAAGACTTATCGCTATTTTTTAGCAACGAAATCAAAATTCGTTGCTAATTATCAAAAAAACAATTATCATTATATTGAAGTATTTCCATCACAAATTCAATGTAAATAGTCGTTTTATAATTATGAAATCTATTGCAAAGCCATTAGTAAGTTGTTTGATTTTCGTCGCTATATAGAGACGAAAATCTATCGTAGAATTTACTCACTAAAAGTGGTCGCTAATCCATAGCTTGGTGTTGTCAAATTGTCGATTGATTTTATTATCCCTCACTAATTTTCATCACTATTAAATTAATTTAATATTTATTTTTTGTCATTGGTCGATTGTTAATTCGCCACTAATAAAGAAAATTTATTTTTTTATATTTTGTTAATAACTACTTAATGTTTAATTGTAGTGGCAAACAACTAAAAATAAAACTATAACATGAAATTATTAAGTAAAATAAAAATAATATAAAATTATATATATATTTGTGTGTCTATGTGTGTGTAGGTGTGCTCGGTATATGAATACATTAAAAAGCTAAAAACAAAACTAGTCCTCATCATCATCATTTTCCGGCATCAAATACCGGCTATTAGGTATTGGGAGAAAAGGTCGACTCTTGGGTAGGGAGAGGGTTAGAAAGAGGGAAGGGTTATTAAAAGCAGTGTCCGCATATCTCATAACAACTACCGCATCATCTACATCTATTGTGCCACCTCTCGCTCCTCTTGTTGGAGAAGTTGATATTTCATTTTTTGTTTCTCCTCCACCCCTTGGATTTACCAAGCATAGCCACACTCTATATCCATCTAGAACTATTATTGGTATTGCTCATCATCTTACCGCATACAACCATAAAACTACGATGTGGTAAAGGATGAGCCGATGATAGAATAGGAATAATATTGAAACTCCCGTGATCCTAGACCATACACTTTATGCTTCTTCTCTCATCTTACAATATCAAGATATATGCGAGCCATGCCAACATCTATCGACGATGAATCAATTTTAGATTAAATTGACATATGTATAATTAAAAAAAAAAACTAATTATCTAAGACCACATATCAATAAATGATCTATCCATCCATTTGTGAGTTCTTATGAACAACTTGTAAGGATTTGGGTCATGACCCAACTCCTTAACTTGAAAAAAGCAAATATAAATAATATGGGATGTAAGAACTGTACTTATTAATTTATAAAATAATAGATAATAAGATTTACCATCCGTATAGTGTACTTAATTTATGAGATAGAACCTCTCGTATGTCTAGATGGGCCATCACCGTATCACCCATCTCGCTTATGTAGTTACAAATTACTTGCTCAAAACAAGCCCAAAACTTAAGTGTGCCTAATTTTGTTGTCATCCATCCCACACCTGCTCTAGGAAAGACAGGGGTTTGGTCCTCTTTTTCTTTTAGTTGGTCGAGCATGTCGACCTAACGCTTGCGTGCTTAACGCTCTAATGCTATCTTAACTAGTGCATTGATGGCTTTGTTCCATATAAAGTACTTCTAAAGAAAGAAAGAAAAATATTAGGACATTTCATGTTAGATTTATTAAAATAATTTAAATTTAATATAAAAAAAATTAATATATTACTTTAAACTCATTTCGGTAGAAGTCTTTTGTCTCTTAGAAGATTGACTTTCACATAGAGTCGCCAAGATCCAATTCGTCGCTCGAAAATGATGGTGATCAATTGAAAGCATTTACTAGATGGATACAAACTATCGAACATAAAAAATAAAAAATCAACAAATGAATTAATGAATCAAATAATATACCAAAATATAAAAGTAATTGCCAACCGTAAAGTAAAGATAATACTATTTGCAACTCGCGAGCATAATACTTACTTGTCATTAACAACACAAATGGTCCGATCGACATCGGACCTAGAAGTGTCAATTAGAGTAGAAGAAACCACCGAAGTGACCTCTATCGTTGGGCTCTATACGGGCTCATGGTCATTTCATATGAGAGGAAGAGGGGACAAGTGGCACCGATGCCGATGACGTAGAAGTGTTGGGTATATGTCCCGAATCAAAAGCATGAATACGACTATGACCACGACACGACTATAGCCACGACCACTTCCATCGGACCCGGCTCAATAAGATGCCTGGATAAGGACGGCCTAAATCACTAGTCATCGCTCCTATGGTATCACATGATATAATTTAATAAATACAAAAAAAAAAATAGTTTGATTATATATTTTCCTAATATCAAACAAAATTTTGTAGAGTCTCTTTTGTAAATTGAATATTTTCTAATTACAAGAGACTTCACCTTTATTTTTAATCATTATATAATAAATTACAAACTCAAAATTTTATCCTAATTTATCAACAACCAAACCTAATTAATTCAAAATAATTTTGATAAAGAAATACTCATTTAAATTTTAAATAACATAAATTCAAGTTTTCTAAAATATTTATGAACAAATAAATACACATATAAAATAAGTAACAAATCAAGCACACCAAAAATCGTAACATCTAAAGTTAAACAAAAAAACTCACAAAAATCAAATGTAAAATATTGATAAAGAGAAAGACATGTACCTATTGAAATTGATTGGAGACTATTGCTTCTCTTTCTATAGAGAGAGAGAGAGAGAGAGAGAGAGAGAGAGAGGTTGTCAATGGTAGAGGAGACCATTTTGAGGGAGGAGACGATGGTTGTTTTAGGAGAAGAGTCGACTAGAATGGCTAGGGACTACTAGTGTGTGGATGAGATTGATTTATGAGTTGTTTTAGAAGGTGTTGCAGCTTAGCAACACATTTGAAAGAGGTGGCGACAAGAATTCGGGTGGGAGAAGGGAGAGGAAAATGGGAGATGAAAGGGATTCTCGTCAATTTAGAGATTGTAATTTAGCAATAAACATGACTCCGTCGCTAATATGCATTTTCTTAGCAATGAAATTAAATTTCCACCATTATTTTCAAATTTGAAAATTTATGCCAATTTTTCGCCTATCAACGATGGACAATTCCATCACCGAATTTGGATTTTTTAGCAATGAACATATTCCATTGTTAATTGGCGAGCGATTAAAAGGTTTAAAGACACAATATTTCATCGCTAATAAAAGAAAAAAAGCTCCAACATGAGCAACATAAATCATAATTTGTCACCGAATGTCATTACAAGTTAGTTGTAATCCATCACTAAAATAAACATAAAAAATTTACTACATTATTTAACGACATAAGTGTTTTGTTGTTGAATTTTTGTTGTCAATTGGTCGATATTCCATCTCTATCAATCCCAAATCAATAATAGTTGTTACTCATTTGCAAATATGTCACCGTGTAACAATAATTTATTGTTCATCATTGATTTCGTTGTTATTTAATAGTTTTTTTTTTATAGTGATTATTACTATTACTATTATTATTGTTGTTGTTGTTATTTGGAGAAAAACAACATACATATAATGCACAAAAAATACTATCCATAGTAGATCGAGTCGAATAAGAAAATATAATAATATAGCTTGAATGTTTATTGTTAAAAATTCAAATTTGGAGGGAAAAAATATATAATGCAAAAAAAAAAAAAAAAGGAGTAAAAAACGATTAGCTTGATTTTAAAGAATAAAAAAAATCTTAATATAATTTTTTTTAATTTTAATTACTTTTATGGTAAAACTTATTATGATTATTGAAAGATATAATGATAAATATATGATACCATTTTAATTTCTATTTGTTTGTGCCAAACATATTAATTGTTATTCTAATTTTTCATTTCGATTCTCGATATGAGATACAAAATTCTAATTTTTCATTCTAATTTTCAATATAAGATACTAAACATAATGATTGAAAAATTGCCATTCTGATTCTTTGTTTCTCATTTTGATTATTTCTTTTCTATTTCGAGCTTTTATTTTCGATTACTAAACAATACTCAACAATATAATCTGAATTAGTCCCAAATCTTAAAAGGATAAATTGAAATTAACCATTGTAATTTATTCGTCTTTTTTTAATATTCTAAGTTGGTTTTTTTTTTATTTTGGGAAAATCATAATTTAGTCCTTTTATCTAAGTGGCAATTAACCTTTTTCATAATGTCCAAACTATCTTCTTCTTCTTCTTCTTCTTCTTTTTTTTTTTTTTTTGCGAAAAAAAGCCTTTTTGGTTTATTTTCAGCTAGTCAGATTGGAAAATTTGACTAAACAATAAGGGCATTTTAGGAAAATAAAAAAATTAAATTATAAATGGCAATTGACAGAGGACGAAGTTATGAATGGACATAAGAATATAAGGAATGTTTCTCAAAGAAAAGCAAAAGGATTAGATAATTATTTTTTAAATTACAGGGACTAAATAAATAATTTATTCAAATTAATTCTTGTTTGTAAAAGGGGTTTAAAGAGGCATAAAAAACCACAGCATTTTTCAGTCCTCACTCCCTCTCAGACAAAACACATCCTCCCCTCGTCCTTCTCTTCTAGGGTTCGTAAAGCACTGAACTGAACAGAACTTTCTCCGATTCAAGATGGTAAGATTTTCTCTCAGATCTAAAATTAAATTATTTGAATCGTTTCTTCTTTCAATTTCGGTTCGATTTTGTTTTAACTTAACGGAAAAAATCAATCAGGAGGGAAAAGCGAATTTAGAAGCTGCGATAGAGCAACTGCAGAACGTCGAAAAGCAGATGAGGCTTGCCGGAGACGTCGCCGGCACTAAGAAAGCCGTCACCGAAATTCTCCAACTCTGCTTCGAAGCCAAAGATTGGAAAGCTCTAAATGACCAAATTGTCCTTCTGTCTAAAAAACGTGGTCAACTCAAACAGGTAATGTTAGTTTCAATTAATTTGTAAATAAATTCAATTGAACTAGGCATTTTTTATCCTATGATTCTTTTTGGTGGATTTTGATTTTTTCTGTTTTGGTGTAGGCTGTAACTGCAATGGTCCAGCAAGCAATGCAGTACATTGACGAGACACCAGATCTTGATTCTCGTATTGAGCTTATTAAAGCACTTAACAGTGTGTCTGCTGGCAAGGTCTGATTGATTTTCATGCTCCTTATATATATATATATGTGTGTGTGTGTGTGTGTGTGTGTGTGTGTGTGTGTGTGTGTGTGTGTGTGTGTCTTTTTTGGATTTGATTATTTAATGCGGGCATTACATGCTTGTTTCTGGGAATTTTGCGGGTGTCATTTTTGTAAGCTTGTTTATTTTTGTGGTGTGTAGATATATGTTGAAATTGAGAGAGCAAGGTTGATTAGGAAACTAGCTAAGATTAAGGAAGAACAAGGGCTTATAGCTGAAGCTGCAGATCTGATGCAAGAAGTTGCGGTAAATTTTTGGTGTTTGCATTCTTAATTCAAAGAGCTGTTTGTTTTCGTGTAATAAGATTGATGCATTTTGATGTTTTTGAGTTGCAGGTGGAAACTTTTGGTGCTATGGCGAAAACTGAGAAAATTGCATTCATTCTTGAGCAAGTATGCATCTCTTCTTTTTGTTTGCATTTTTTCGTTATTTGGTGCTTGTTCTTTGAGGCTAATTAATGCTCTGAGATCAAACAAAGAAGTTGGATGTTTAAGAGGTCAGAGTAGCCACTATATGCAATTAATGATGAAGAATATGGTTGTATCTAAGATGCCTTAACTGAGGATACTGCTTTCATGGAACATAGATGAGTAGTGGTCTTTTTAGCTCTAATCTGTTACGTTTGTGGCATTTTTGTGGCTTCTTTATAGTGTTTTAATTTTGATTGGGCTTCAATTTTGTTGGGGCAGGTTCGTCTGTGTCTTGATCGCCAAGACTATGTTCGTGCACAAATCCTCTCAAGGAAGATTAGTACAAGGGTTTTCGATGCTGATACCTCGAAGGAGAAGAAGAAACCAAAGGAAGGTGATGATGTTGTTGAAGAGGCTCCTGCTGATATACCATCACTGTTGGAGTTAAAGCGGATCTACTATGAACTGATGATACGGTATTCAACTTTTGTATATTTTTTTTGTCCCATTCTTGCTTTAACTTTCTTTTGAATAGTTTCACTGGGATTCTTTAGTATTTGTCTAATACTTCACTAGGTTTTATGTGATGCTCAATTGTTTCATGAGCTCCTTGGTCGAACTACCTTTGTATCTTTATATAGTGCATATCTAAATATTTCTGAGCTTATTTGGCTGTGGTTCTGCTTGCCACCATCTTGATTCAGCAAAATTTACTTTAATGCTAAGAAATTACAAAAAGTTTGCTCAGTATCTTTATAAGCTCTATTTGTGTACTTGCATGCACCATGGAATGCTGTAATGCTAAGAAATTACAGAAATGTTGCTTGGTATCTTTATTAATTCTATTTGTGCACTTGCATGCACCATGGAATGCTGTAAACAGTTTTTTTTTTACTTGTTTTGAAGTCTCTGTTTGGTCTGTATTAAGCCTTTGATTTGGTCTTTGGCTTGTAACTGTTGGCAACTTTATTGAAAGTAATTTGTTGGAGCTGCTTTTATAGACTGTGTTTAAGAGACTCTGATGGTAAAGTAACACATAAGGTAACATGTTTTTTCTATGAATGCAGAATGGCTTCTTGTTTCCTGCTCCCTCTTTTGAGATTTTTTTTTTTTTTTTTTTTTTTTTAAGCTTTCTTAATCTGAAGCAGTAATCCTGATAGATATGTTTGCCGAACTTAATATGCATGCAAAGCCATGCCCAATGCTATATATCCTGGGAGTTGCTTTGTTTGCCACCTTGTGTTTGCGAATCCCTGTATTGCTTTCCAGGGTTTTAAATCTGGTAGTGAGATTTATTGAATAGCATTGTCAACTGGCCTTATATTTTGCAACTCATAGTTGGCAAACTGGCTGGACTGATAGATATGTTTGCCCAACTTAATATGGATGCAAAGCCATGCCCAATGCTATGTATCCTGGGAGTTGCTTTGTTTGCCACCATGTATTTGAGTTTGGGAAGCCCTGTATTGCTTTCCAAGGTTCTAACTCTGGTAGTGAGAATTATTGAATAGCATTTTCATCTTGCCTTGTATTTTGCAGCTCATAGTTGGCAAACTGGCTGGACAATGCATTTATGGTTTTATGACATTAGTGTTCCACATTGTTTTTTAGCAATCAAATTCAATTTCAAATGCTAGCAAAATAATATGCTTGATTTAAAGAATTCTTATATTGTCAAATATGACCTCTAAAAAAAGGGTTCAAAATAGTCTGCTGTCTTATGCTGGAAAGCTTCCTTCTTTGCAATTTTTTTGAGTTTAAAATAACCTGTTGAAAGGCAAATCATAGTCTCCGACACTGGAACTTCAAATAACATTGTGATACTATTTTATATTTTGTGATTTTGGATGACTAACTGATAGGACCATGCAATTGTGGATTTCTATAGTCTGAGACATTTCTGTTGAGATTTCATGTTTGTATTTTTCTGCTGTAAGAATTGTCTCTTTTTTTCCTCTTTTCAACAAGAACCTGGAATTCCTTTCAAATACAGTAACAAAACCCTGCAAAAATGGTTTTTCTTTGTGGTATCTTTTCCAATAAAATTTGTGACTTGATCGCCTTTGCTTAATTTTTCTACAAGGCCAAGGCTGCTTTGGAAAAAAAAACAAATTCATTGAAAATTTCCTTGTTGAGATTTTTTTTTTTTTTTTGCCCTGTTAAAAGTTAGTAAAATATCCCAATCATCCAACTTGTCTAGCCTTCTGTTTTGTGAACTAGTATATCTGCTGTAGATTTGAATAAGAACTCTAACTAATGGCTATGTCTGTGTTTCCGCTCTTGTTCTAGGTACTACTCTCATAACAATGATTATCTTGAAATTTGCCGTTGCTACAAGGCAATATATGAGATTCCTTCTGTAAAGGAAAACCCTGCCCAATGGATTCCAGTAAGAACTTATCTTCGATTTTTGATTTGTTGAGATTTCTATGAATTCTATTGGACAGCCCTGATATCTTACAACATTTAGGTCTTGAGGAAAATCTGTTGGTACCTGGTACTTGCACCACATGATCCAATGCAGTCAAGCCTTCTGAATTCCACCTTGGAGGATAAGAATCTTTCTGAAATTCCAAAATTTAAGTACGTGTTGCTCTAATCTGTTCCTGCATATGGTTTGTCATTTAATTTAACAATCTCATTATTTAATGCATCTCTTCATTGGATGCTGTTCCATAGGTTGCTGTTGAAACAGTTGGTGACGATGGAAGTCATCCAATGGACATCTCTTTGGAATACATTCGTGGATGAGTTTGAAAATGAGAAGAACTTACTTGGAGGATCTTTGGGTGACAAAGCAGCAGAGGATTTAAAGCAAAGAATAATTGAACATGTAATCTTCTTTCAATTGTCATATTTGGGACAATTATGTGGATTTCTTCTTTCAATCTACAGTTGAGTTTAGTTGTTAATCCATTTGCAACATGTTTGCTTTACAGAATATCCTTGTTGTTTCTAAGTATTACTCTAGGATTACTGTGAAGAGACTAGCAGAATTATTGTGTCTCAGCATCCAGGTTTGCTCTCTCTCTTTGTCTCTCTCTATTTTTTTGTGGTTTTGTGGCACACATGCTTTTAATTGCTCACACTAAGCTTTGTTTTTGGCATTTGTGTTCATGGTGTAATTATGCCTATCTTTGTTCTTTATCATGTCAGCTCGTACAAATCTGTGTGAATGTTTAATTTCAAAGATTTGGATTTTATCAGGCATAGTTAAATTAATAAAGGGTTCATGGTTGCCTGGTGTTTCTGTTTAACTATTTATTTGAATATTCGACAATAGTGGATAAAATGTGAGGGATTCGCTTCAGATATTATTTTGTTGACATAATAATTAAAGTTATACTGTTCATCCTAATTGAAACTTCTGATGTTCTTATCTGAGTTTAGATGTTGTGTTCAATTATTGAACAGAGTTACAGGTAATATACATAGGTCTGGTGTTCAAATCTAAAGTAAGCAATGTTTCAAGTGTTGAATAGATAACTGGTAATTGTTGAAGGTATAAAAAGCCTATCTTTTACTGTCACCCGATAACTCAGCTTTTTGAGTACAGTCGTCATTTAATAATATTAGGGCCTCTTTGACGTAATGTTTTGGAGTTGGAATCTTAGAATTTCATTATATGTAACTTTATTTAATCGCATGGTAGTGGCTAATGTCTGTGTTTAATCGATGTTTGAATTCCAATTATAATGAGCAGGCCTGTTAATAGTATGAATGATGTTTGCATTTGTTTAATAACTTGAACTTCTTGATTGAGTGGGAATTTGGCAATGGCACCGAGTCTTGTGTTCAAGAATGATTTTTCTAATTCTCTTCTAAGGCGTTCTCCTTTAATCTTGTTTCAAGCATATTTTTGTGCAAGCTTACTAACAATCACGAGCTCTGCTTTACTACTATTCACGCTCCCAAGCAACCTCCCAGCCCTATATATATATTCTTACCTTGTATAACAGTTCTTTCCCTTTCTGTTAGTACTTATGGTCTTTGGTATCAGCAGTGACTTGCTGCCAATTAATGCTTTTCATAATTTATTTTGTTGTCATTTAAGATCTCTCCATGCACATTGCATGAGATGTAGGTTCTTGGTGACTTGCATAATTTGGCAGACAACAATCTTTTTGCTTGCTGACTGGTGTTTGAAAAAAAGGATGGAAGTATTCTCTTGAACCATGTAAAGAGTCTTGCAGTTTTCCCTCTAATCTGGTCAGCTTTAAAAGATAACTGATGATTTTTTTTAGTTCTCTCGTTGAAATCTTAAAAAATGCAAGTTAAACTAGTGCTTGAGTGAAAAAGTTAGTTTGTCAATGTTAATAATACGCAAAGTATGTACGTCATTCAAGTTCCTCTGCATTTAACCACGTTTTCACCAATTCAGGAAGCTGAGAAGCATCTTTCGGATATGGTTGTGTCTAAAGCTCTGGTGGCAAAGATTGACAGGCCAATGGGAATAGTGTGTTTCCAAGTAGCAAAGGATAGCAATGACATTCTCAACTCATGGGCAATGAACTTGGAGAAGCTGCTTGATCTTGTCGAGAAGAGTTGCCACCAAATACACAAAGAAACTATGGTCCACAAAGCTGCTCTAAAAGTTTGATAGGGTTGATTTCACTGAATTCATGAAGGTCTCTCTCTCTCTCTCTCTCTCTCTCTCTCTCTCTCTCTCTCTCTCTCTCTCTCTCTCTCTCTCTCTCCCCTATGTGCACAAACAGGGGAAAAAAATAGAAATGATAATTTTTAGGTGAGAGTACTAATCTTCTGTTTTAATGGGTGTTTGCAGATGGAAGTGATCTAAGAACGCATTTAAATCTCCGCTGACTGGGTTTGGTCGGACATTCATCATATTCCGAAGATATTTCATTTGTTGGTTAGGCTGTGAACTCATGTATGCTTCTTTGAACTGAGAGTAAGATTGATGTATACTTCTGGCACATACTGTACCACTGACTAATGGCTGGAGCCTAAATGAACCTTGTTTATAGCAGTGGAAGGAAATCTCTTTTCAGCTTTGTTTGAGATTTTCTTCTTTTGTTTAATATGGTCACTTATCATTTATGATCATAACTGGGACATAATATAGTGTTCTTGATGTCAATTTATTGTCAGCAAATATGCGTTATGTTCCAATTTTGGGGGACGCGTACTCTCTCAATGTATGAGACAGCTGGATGTCATGCCCATTTCAGCAAATTCGTTTTTATTATTGTTGACATCACGGATTTAGGGGTGTCCTTTGCCCTTTTGATATTATCTATTCTATCTCAGGTGACAGCTTGAGATTGATTTGTGCCAGTTGAATTTACGCCATCACATTGTGGCTGGATCCACTTAATTTAATCCTAAAAAGAGAATGTTGGGTCATCGGGACAAAATGGAATCGCGTGTTTTAAGTTGACAAATTGCGAGAGCGACGTTTGAGGTCTTTATTTATTTATATCCCACCGAATTTGGAATTCTCTTGAGCTTCTTGGTCTCGAAGTTGGAAGGAAGCATGTGAGGAGGAATTCTCGGCTGAGAAGCATATTTTTATTCCAATTTTCCACCTCAGTACTTTCTAGCGCAAAAGTTCCGTGAGAGTTCAGGAATTGTTGCAAGAACAAAGATGCTGCTGCAAAAACGCAAGCTATTTTCACTGAGATTTATGTTTTGATAAATGTTCTCTTTTTTTTATTATTATTCTTTTCAATAACGAATTACATCCTAGCCAACACATCACAAAATTGATGGTGTTAAAAACAAAAACAAAAACAACACTATCCTACGAAAGAAAAGAAAAAAAACAAAAAAAAAAACAAAAACAAAAGCAACAACAACAGTATCCTACCAATGCAGTTGGAAAAGTGCGATGAATAAAAGCTGAGGTGTATGGATTATCCAGAAGAGGAAGTATAGTGGCTATAATCTGACCACACCGGCAACTGAAAATCTGCTCCACCACTCGGACCATCGGTGGCAGGCCTAAACTCACCTTGTTGCTGGGCCGGGAAAAACATAGGATCGGGAGATTGTGTTGAAGAAGATGAAGAACTAGAAGAAACAAATGAAGATGACAAAAACATTTGGTCGTATAGATTCATAGGTTGCCTTTGATAACCACCAACACCCAAGATCAATTGAGGTTGGGTCACCTGCTCTCTTGAAATCTCACGGTTCTGCGTATGGTGGAGAGCTTGGGAGTGAACTATGGGCGCAGTGGATGTAGGAAGGGACCGAAAGCCTGTACTTGGAGAAGCAGATATAGTCAACTGGTTTGCCGTTGGATTGGAAGGAGGAGATGGTCGAAGCTTGACGTTTTCTGGGAAGTTGAGCTTGGCCTTGTTGCCTCTGAATCTGAGAGCAGCTTCATCATAGGCTCTTGCTGCAGCCTCAGCTGTGTCGAAAGTACCTAACCAAACCCTAGCTGCTTTGAATGGATCTCTTATTTCAGCAGCCCACTTGCCCCATGGCCTTTGCCTTACTCCCCTGTATTTTCTCCTTGGCTCTTCTCTGCAGGCTTCATTGTATTCATATACGTGAGTAAACGCCATCTCAGTGGCTGCGGGTGTTGCAGTGCCTGTGGTGATGATAGAATTTCCTGTAGCTGTAGATATGGGGGGAAGAGAGAGTTACATCATTACTCGGCAGTTCGGTGCATAAGAATACAAGCACAAATTAAGCTCATGCAACCATAAGAGATGGCAGAAATTGCGCATATAAAGTCAATAAGATTTGCCAAGACAGAGCAGACTAATTCATCCAAAAAAATAAAAAAATAAAAAGGACAGAGTAGATTATTATATTAAGGTACATGCAATATTTCGTTTTTTTTTTTTTTTTTTTTTAAAAAAAGGTGATTTTTCACCGTACAAAGATATAAACAAAAACTAACTCGAGAATGATCGTAATTGTAAAACTAGTTAGCTTATTATTACCTCTTCCAGCAGAAGATGAACCACCATGTAAGAAGTCATTACGAAATGGTCTACAGAGCCTCCCACTCCCACCACCTTCTTCTTCCCTTTCTCTCTTCACTGACAAACCACCATGAATACAATCACCTTGATTATTTGATACTCCCGTTAGAGAATCCGAATCATCTGTGGGCACATTTCCAGCCACTACGTGCGTCAAAGCAGTCACCATCGCTGACATCTCTCTTTCCCTACTCAACCCAGAAAGCATCATTGGTAGTGTTTGGTTTTGCAGCCATTCTTCAACACTACCAGCTTCTTTTTTAATCTCTCCTTTGTTCGCCACTTTTAGCTACGCTTGCAGCCTTGAAAAACTTTAGCTATAACAAATTGAGCAATATTCTACAAGTTTCAAACAACTCTCCAGAACCAGAACCTTTCAAGAATGTCTCAAAGAGACAGTTTTATAGACACCGAAAAGAATTAAGCACTGTCAAAATATCTGATAAAGTGTCTTTGACGTGACATATTGTTATTCAAGTCGGTATTGAGAACCAGCTAGCTCCATTATATATATATATATATATATATATAAACTAGCTATCTCCTTCACCGTAAAGCAACTGGGTGTAAGAATCATCAAAAATTCAATTTTTTTTTAGCATGTGGCTAAAAATAGCGTATAAGGTTATAGGACGGTCAAAATTGTGGGTGTGAACCTTGAAAAAAAAAAAAAAGGACAAACAATTTGTTTCTTCTTTGTTTAATTAAGAAGCATCGGACCAATTCCACTTGCAGTCGGCGCTGAGATGGAGACTCTAATGGCCGACTAAAGACTAAGCATGTCGGCCCACTCGCAATTGAAGGGTGTCCACTCGGCCCAATAACCTTTTCTCTTTATCTACCGATTTTATTCTTCTAAGAGAGTACACCTAGAAAACTTGGCTGGTTGAATTTTATTACTAGAATGAACCAAAAAAAAAAAAAAAAAAAAAAATTGGCAGTTGAGATCGATCTAAGAATTGCATAATATATGTTGTATTATCAGTATCTTTTAATTCTTCTTTTGACTTTGGGAATTGCATATTCCAACCATTTTATAATATTTATTGCTGCTATTACAAAATAAGGAGAAAAAAATTGAATTTGAGTTGAAGAAGGTTTTTTTTTTTTTTTCCCAAGATATTTTATGTGTAAAGACTCAAACTAATTTCTTGTTGTTTAATCCGATGTACAAGATAAACATAATTACTCAAAAAAATTTTATGTATAAAAGCAACGATTAGTCGCGTAAAACAAATAAAATTATTTAATGAGTTTTTAACATAAGATTAATTTCATAAAAACTTAATATAGATGCGTTTTTTTTTTGGGGGGGGGGGGGGGGGGGGTGGGTTGGTGAAAACTTAACTTGGTAAGTCACAAATCAGAATCATAGTGACTTACCTAACCAATGGTGCGATAGTTAATTGGTCGGTGTGGACAAAGAAAGCGGGAGGAAATCTGATCGTGAACAAATGAGCTTCAAATCTGAATTCAAGCTGATGTCGACATAAGATATTTGCTTTTGCTTCGTACTCTGATGGAAACCCAAAACCTTGGAGTCCCCAAGTATTTTCCAATTCCAAATACAAATACATGAGATAGGATAGGAGACGACATAATAATAATAATGATAATAATTAATTATATCATAAAAGGACAGACAACTACGGTACTTGCAATGACAACATCATCTTTATTGTCTGATGCAGATGTACCTCTTCTGTGCACGCAAGCATGTTCCTTTCACTCAAAGCCAACTATTGGTCAACCATACGCGCTTTTTCATGTGATATTATATATTATATGCATATATCCAGATAGATCTATAGTTATTATATTATATTATATGGTAAATTCAAGTGGTGTACGATTCCGTAAGCCCAATGAACACCTTGTGGTTTTGTTCACGTTGTTGAGATTTTTAAAGAGGAAGGAAAAAGGAAAGAGGACAAGTTTACCTCTAAAATTATATGTTCGTCCCAATTGAGACCCTGATTATTCGATTAAGTCCTTTATATTTTTTTCAATTGATCCCCATGTTCCCTACAATTAATAGATTTGTTAATTTTAGATGACTTGCACTTGCTTTTAATTTTTAGCTAGGATTTTGTGGAAAACTAAGGCTCCCTATTTTGCCCTTTTCAAAAGGGAAATTTAGGGCTTTAGGATTCCTTCGACCCTTTTTACATCTGACCTAATGAATTTTTAACTCCAAATTGTTTTTTGGAACCTCAATTTTGTATGTTAAAATTAATGGCACAAAATTAATGTCTCGTTACCTACAAATAATAGTGTGGTAACATTGAACAAAATCTCAATAATGGAGGGCTCAATTGGGATAGGCATAATAGTTTGGGCACATATTTGTCTGTCTCCCAAAAAAAAAATAAAAAAATCATGACTATTCCTTGAGATTAATACTGAATAATATATATATATATATATACACGTGAATGTATGTATACATATGTATGTATGTATATGTATGTATATATTAATTATTGTTAAAAGAGTGCTTTGGAGTCAAATTTTACATATCAAAATTAAGTCAATTTTTTTATATATAATAAAAAATAGACCATCTACGTTGAAATAAGAGAGTTTTATTTCCAATAGTCTAAGATGAGATTTAAATTCTGATTGTTTAAAAAAAAAAAAAACATCCTTTTACCATCAGACCAAACTTCTCAACCTAAGTCCACTTTTGACGTAGGATAATTAAGGATTCAATCTCTTCGTTCATTTGAATAATTTTTATGGGTTCATCCGCTTTACAAATCCAACGTGGGAAAAAAATTAGGTGGAGGGATTTAATTGAAAAAAAGTTTTAAAATGAGTAGTTTAATTGAAAAATGTTTAGTATGGAATTCAATTAATTAAAATTGATGGATGGTTTGAAAAATTTAATTAGGTCGATATTCTAGAACAAACATTGAAAATTTACATTTAATTATATGACTTCTCAAAAATGTTTACTTAAAATTTTTTTAAAAAAGGTGGTCAAAAAATGTTGTCATCATATATATAGAATGGAATTTTAAAACTGCCGGCATACATAGCAAGATGTTTGACTTCCCCTAACGGATATGGTCAAATGGATACAAAAGTTGACTTTCTTGATGGATGTTATGGGGGGCAAAATAAAAGTGAAGATTTTAATATATTTATATATTACTCAGGAACTTAGGAATAGACAGAAAATTATTAATCGTGCCTTTTTAATTTTTTTATTCTTTTTTTTTTTTTTTATGAATGAAGTTGTTTTTATCTTCTTAGTTTTAGAAATTTTCAGTTAAGTTTTTCAATTCATATTTGATTAAAAATTCAATTTAAATTTTATTTTTTAAAAATAAGAAATGATTAGGAAACTAAATATTTTATGTTATAAAATTTATAAAATAAAATAAAACACCATATTGAAAAATGTAAAATATTGTTTGGAAACAAAATTAATACCGGCCCAACGAATGAGATTGCATTCATAAATTGTCCATTTTATCGTAACAACAGTCATGCTATTTTTACTCATATTATCGTAAAACATCAAAAATTCTTAATAAATTTTAGTTATGCATACTTTTCTTATATATAGATCTACAAAATAGCACTTTTTATTATTAAATATCACATAAACATTATAATATGAAAAAGCTTGAAAAACATAAACTTGAAATGCATAAATTATCAAAAAAATCATAATAGTAAGTAGGAGGTTATTGGACCATTATTCATTCCTTATTTTTACCATAACAACCAATATGACATTCATTATTGTATATATAACACCTTATAACCATCATCCATGTGAAATATTAATTGTTAATGGAATTATCATATGAAATAGCAATAATGGACCATTTGATTCCGCTAATAACAACAGTTATGTTATATATATAATTGTTTTTATCATTCATGCCTATTGTTGTTAGGAAATGAATCAAACAAGAAAACGAGTAAAAAATAAAATAAATAATAATCACTCAATATAGAAATTTACATAGTTCGAGTAATTGTTTCACTTCACGATTGTATTAGGATTTCTTATTAAGATTCTATCAAGGAAAAGCTATAAATACAAGTAATGTTGTCTTTATTTATAACGTGGACAACTATATATATATATAGAAATTTACATAGTTCAGCAATTGTTTCACTTCACGATTGCATTAGGATTTCTTATTAAGATTTTATCAAGGAAAAGCTATAAATACAAGTAATGTTGTCTTTATTTATAACGTGAACAACTATATATATATATATATATATATATATATAAGTCTATATACCTTATTCAATATTATATAAATTTTTTGAGAAGCTCTTTTAACCCCTGCTCACTAATTGATTAGTGAGACCATCGTATGTGTAACGTCGTATATTGTAGATCTCTATTCACGTCATTCTTCATAATTTAATAGCTTGTTTCGCTTTAGTTAGAACTTGATTAAGCCCTTACCTCAAACCATGTCTAAGAAGTCGTGTTCGAACTTCAAAATTCCTAACGAAAGAATGCATGAAATTATTTTTATTTCCTTGCTTTTTGACCAGTCATATATATATATACATATTCTTCTTTAATAATATATGGTAAACGATGCTTTGGCTGAGTCATAAGAAATCTGAGTCTTTAGGCCTATACTAGAAAGCATGTGCATTTGAATATAGCTTTGCACCACCTAATAATAATAGCTTCTCTTCTCTCCAAGTTATGGTTTGCTAAATCAGTATCGGTCAAAACCTTACTGATTATCCATCACAAACACCAGAAACAATGGGGCATTTGATTTAATTTCGGGGCCACCTTCCAACATGCGTTTGGGACCAAACTGCAGAGCAGAGGTGGCCTGGCTTTTCACACCTTTTTATCTTATAATTTTAAGTATATTAGTTTGCGCTAATGCATTTTCAACCTTATATATTTAATCAAACATCTTTATATGTTTTTCATCACTCAAAAAACTCCAATCCTCTAAAAACTTACATCAATACCATTATCGTTGTTCTTAATATCAAACACATCAATATTGTTTGCCACAATCCAGAAATATTTAACCAAACTAATTAAGCAAACAGAGAACATAAATTGGATTGTTAGTTAAAATATAAAATTCAAGCTATGATATAAGATTTCTAAGAATGTTAGAATTCTAATATTAAAGGACCATTTCACCCGAAAGGTTAAGTTAATAGATAAAACCCTAGAATATAATTTTTATTAGTATTAGTTTTTAACACACCTCTTCAAATGAAAGCTTCAACATTTAAGCTTAAAACTTGCACAAATATATGTTACATTGTGCTTAATATTTGAAAAATTGAGGATTGTGATATCCGAATTCGGAACTACATGGTCAATCAAGCTTTGATATCATCTCACCTAAAAGCTTAAAAACTTAAAGCTGATAGATGAGATCTTAAAATATAATTTATATTAATCTCTAATACCTAAAATTGAAGAGGAGAATCACATTTTTGCCGGAATAATTCTAACTTGGATTCCTAACCGAGAAGAGGGCAAGAATATTTGAAAATGTCAATCAGTTTTTTTCATATATATATATCTCAAAGTATCACATTTTATCCCTTTTACATTCCTACGTCTTCCATACTACCAAATACCAGCTTAATAAAATCTTCAACATTTCATCAAAACTCTAGTCAGAATAGAATCCACAAGCTTAACCGCTCAAAGCCATATTGTAAAGTGAAAGAATACCTAAATTAGAGTTCTATTATTTTATTTATTTATTTTCAGGTTACTTATTTATTGATGAGCCAATTGTTCCCGCAGTTGACAAATTTTCCTAAAGCAGTTGAATTTTTAATGGTTCAGGGTTCTCTACCAGACTACAAGTGGGGCAAAAAGAAGCAAATTGTCAAAATTCAACTCAAGTAACCTTATAATTTCACTTTGCAAACAAAATCAAAGCAGAGACAAGGCCTAGGTTGACCTGTAGGGGGAGAATTTCAACGATTAGCTCATCGCCTTAAAGGCTTATAGCAACTAGTACTATTCGTAGCGTGGGCATATTTTTCATGAGGCAACTAATTCAATGCCCTGCCAACGCTGCTCGAGAAATGCAACCCGGCAAGCCACGTTGCTTGGTCAAAGGGTCTAGAATTGCCGGACTAAAAGAAATTGAAGGGATTCATTTCTTTTTTGTTGGACTGATGATGGATTTTTGTCAAATTATTTGTTTATTATAGAATATTAATTGTAATTTTTTTTTTTTTTTTTTTTACGGGGTGCTTGTTCGACATGGAAAACATTGACTGCCCAATAACCAATCTTAACTTTGGGCTTAATCCAATTGAAGCCCATCAATTTCTAATTCCCTGCCAGTCCATTAATTCAACATTTTGAACAAGGAGAACCGACTTGAGGTCCTTGGTTTGTGAGTTTATAGTCCAAAACACATGCAATTCCAACCCCTTACCCTGAGCCAGTAAACCTGCAGATCAACCCTAATATCACCAGATGATTGGAATCTGGAAATAAGGCATTCCATTCGCAATTTGAATTACATTGTCAGCCACCAAATTCATGGGTTTGATAGATTTAGCCGGCAGTAGCAGGATTAAGCTATACAAACATTAAAATTAATATATACCTATATAATTGTACTGGACTGGACTTCACCCATACACAGAAGTCCTCCAAACGCAAAACCCAATAGAATTTGCCTGGCCCAAACATAATTTTTTTTGTGGCCTCTGCCATGCAAGAACAACATAAGCCAATGTCACATCTTTTCTGGCTCCTAAATCGAACCTTTAACTTCCACAAGACAAGCACTCCTCACGGTTTGTAAGGGAACAAACCATTTGGGCCATTTTGGTATCATCATCAGCAGTAGCATCCACTCTCGGCTTCTTTTCCTGCATTTACCATTAAATGAGACTTTCTTTTCAATGAAATACTCTTTAACTCATGATAGAAAGCTAGTGATGATGACCGGCCATTACCTTAAGAGCTGAAGTATCAACAGTGAACTTGATGGCATCAGCTGCAGCACGTGATCTTAGATAATACATCCCTGTCTTTAGGCCCTTTAAAACAGGAAAAAGAAATGATAAGACTGAAATTATTGCAACACATTACTGTTAATTGCATGAAAGGGGGTTTCATCAGAATTGACTTAGCAATCAAAAGATGCATAAAAAAATGAATCAATTATTATCGCACAGCATCATACCATGATGCTGTAAATTATCAACAAAAGCAATAAAATCACTTAGATGTGCATACCTTTGACCATGCATAGAAGTGTAGGGAAGTTAGTTTTCCAAAATTGGGTTGGTCCATATGTATATTAAGACTTTGACTCTGATCTATGAAGCACCCACGATCAACTGCCATATCTACTAACGTCTTTTGCTTGATCTCCCAAACAGTCCTATTTGTCACAAAAATTATATTAGCTCGAGGGTTAAAAGTACAGAGAGAAGGGAAATTCACTTATCCATACTTGTATATAAATTTCAGATCATCTGGGATTTCTGGGATTTTCTGGACAGAGCCATCTTCATAGATTATTTTGTTCTTCAGAGCAGGAGACCAAAGGCCCATCTCAGTTAAGTCATGAAGAAGATGTTTGTTGACGACAACAAATTCACCACTGGAGAGAAAGAGAATTAGAGCAAACACAAGGCAATTGGTCTTAAAATAAACTGAATAGAATAGGTTGGCATAGAAAACCTTAGAACTCTACGACTATAAATGTTTGAAGTATATGGCTCAAAGCACTCATTGTTTCCAAGAATCTGGCTGGTTGAAGCAGTTGGCATTGGTGCCAAAAGAAGTGAATTTCTCACCCCATTCTTAGATATCATTTCCCTTAGGGCATCCCAGTTCCACAGACTCGAAGGAGTTACACCCCACATGTCAGGCTGCAGAATTCCCTGCACAATTCAATCAATAATTAACTAATCAGAAGCTAGTGAAAATAATCTGTTCTGCTAGCTATTGGACCAGCAGGTCTTGAAAATCCATTCATATGGAAGCTGGAACTTTACAAAGTACACCAACCAGCAACTGATGAACACCAGCTACTAGAATATTCTCATGGGACGCAAGGAACTTTTTAATAATTCAAGCAAATTAGAGTGGAAAAGTTATTAGTCAAAATTATATTGATGTACATAACAAAGATCTCAGAAGCAATAAAAGGCTAACTGCAGCACAATTATGATTTTGTAACAACTTGAAATGGAAAATAAAATCTCTGAGAAGACCACATTATAAAATTGCACTCAAGGAGCTTGCATTAGAAGAGACCCAGCATACCTTGCTCACAGGACTTCCAACATATGTTTCATAGGGACCTTCTCTTGCAGCAATCTCAGAAGAAGCTTTCAGAGCATGGTAATAAATGGTTTCAAATATGTCCTTATTCAGCTTTTGAGCCTGAAATTGATTGCCATTAAACAATCAGACCAGCCAACTAATTCAACTTAATGTTCAAAAAGAATAATTGTTGAGAGTAAAATTTACCTCTGGCGAGTCAAATGCCATTCCAAGCAACATGAAAACATCTGCAAGACCTTGAACTCCAATGCCAATGGGCCTATGTCGGAAATTTGACCTTCTAGCAGTTTCAACAGGGTAGTAATTAACATCAATTATTTTGTTAAGATTGCCAGTAACCACTCCTGTAACCTGTCCCAAAAGCAAGAGGAAACAGAAATTGCAGGTTGAGCATATGAAACAAAATATCTACACAAAAGCAGAAGATGCATATGCTAAGCAATGTCCTGATGCAATCAATACAAAACAAACCTCAGCTAATTTCTCGAAGTCAAAATATCTACTCTTGGAACCTCTACTCCCAACAAGTTTTGATGGATGAGACTCCATAGGGACCCCCTGCAACAAAGGACATGACACTAGGTTAAAAAACAAACAGGACAAAAAAAAAAAAAAAAGAACAAAATTTTCAAATAGGCCCAAAAGCATTCCCCACCGTCTCTCTCACAAATCGCGGTAGAGCAATCGAAGCTAGATTGCATACAGCAGTTTCTGTTGGACTTGTGTATTCAATTATCTCAGTGCACAAATTTGAAGACTTTATGGTACCCAGGTTCTGTTGATTGCTTTTTCTGTTGCAAGTATCCTGGAACAAAGAAGAGAAATAAGCAAACAAGAAAACACAATGCTATAATACAAAAGGACTAAAAAAATTCCAACAGATTAACATAAATCACCTTAAAAAGCATGTAAGGGGTCCCAGTCTCTATCTGGGATTTCAAAATCTCAAACCAGAGGTTTTGTGCCTGGACAACCTTCTTGGCCTTGCCCTAGATATATGCATGAGTAGTGTTAACATTCAAAATCCAACAAAAACGTCATTCAGAAATATGAATAGACAAGATAATGCCAAAAAAAAAAAAAATTACATTTCTTTCATATCGGGTGTATAGTTCCTCAAATTCTTTGCCCCAACAATCTGCCAAACCCGGAGCCTCATTAGGGCAAAACAATGACCATTGCCCATTGCTTTGAACTCTCTCCATAAAGAGATCAGGGACCCACATGGCATAGAATAAATCCCGAGCACGGTGTTCTTCCTATAAAAATGCAAAATTACAACTCAAAAAGTTAAACAGCAAGGTACATTGGAGCAGTGAACAAGAGGTGCCATCAGATAAATTAGGACAAGACAATATAGAAGTGTACAATTTGCTACTTTTAGCCATACCTTTCCATGGTTTTTCCTGAGATCCAGAAACTCAAATACATCAGCATGCCATGGCTCCAAATACACAGCAAAAGCACCTTCAAACACGGTAAGCAATGTTTTAATAGTAACATCAGGCATCAGATTTAAAATGACAGTACAAGCACAACACAATGAACATACCTTTCCTCTTGCCTCCTCCTTGATCAACATAGCGGGCAGTATCATTGAACACCCTCAACATTGGAACAATGCCATTAGATGTCCCATTTGTTCCACGAATATAACTTCCAGTAGCACGGATGTTGTGAGCAGATACACCAATTCCTCCAGCTGATTTACTGATAACAGCACACTCCTTCAATGTATCATATATTCCTTCAATACTATCATCTTTCATGCACACCAAGAAGCAGCTGCTCAACTGCCAAGATACGTCAAATAACTGGCTTAATTTTCAGCAAAACAACTTTCCTAAACACCATATCCATAAACTGAATTGAAAGATTTGCATAAGACTTCCATAATAGATAAGCGCATTACATAACACATACTTGGGGCCTTGGTGTTCCAGCATTGAAAAGGGTGGGAGAAGCATGAGTGAACCACCTCTGAGACATCAAATGGTATGTTTTGAGCGCCAAATCAATATCATCTTTGTGAATTCCAACAGCAACCCTCATCAGCATGTGTTGAGGCCTTTCCACAACCTTTCCTTGGACCTTCAGGAGGTAGGATCTTTCAAGGGTCTTGAAGCCAAAGTAATCATAGTCAAAGTCCCGATCATAAATGATCTCAGAGTCCAAGCGAGCAGCATTCTGAAACAAAAAGTATTGACATTTCATAGTTCATAACATTAGGCTAAGCTCAAATAGTGGATACATCGATCTCTACAGCAAATAAAAACAAACCATTGACTTTCCTACTCCAAACCTTAGCTCATTTCTCACCCCAAAAAAACATTAACTACTCAGTCAGCTTCTTGCATAATATTTGCTCAGTTGTGCGGCATACACCAAAAAAGGGACCAGTAACATGAGTTTCATAATCTAATGACAAGCACGTAGAATTCCAAACAGATTACTGTACCTCTAAAACTATCTATAACATGACCACTTCACAACAATGTTAATGACAAGAACTACATCATTTTCTCTCTTTTTAGTTTCATAAAAAGAAACAATTTAATCTAACAAGCATTAGAATAGGCAATATTTGGCTTAAGAAAATACCTTCATAATTATTTCATAAACATCATCAGCAATCAAAGGAGCCTTCAGCCCAGATTTGTCATTATAATGGTTATACATAATTTTGATCCTGCAGCAACCACCAACCCAGATCAAACAACATTTCCCAAGAATGAAGCCAACTGGCTCAATAGAAACAGGTAATTTAATATGAAACTTACGTCTCAGAAAATGATTTCTGAGTGTTCTTATGCAGGTTCGAAACAACAATCCTCGCAGCCAACTGCATCACCAAAATATTAGTCAATTAGTGAATCGCGAAACAGGCTGTTTCTGCTTCAGTCCTCAATTTTGTTAAATCAAAGAACGTCTAATAACACAAATAGTACCAAGCCCAAAATTAGAAATGACTTGGATCAATCTGGTAATAGAAATTCGACTATTGCTGAAACTTTTAAGAAAACAAAAACATTTCACACAATCCATTTAAGAACTCTGAAACTACAGCGATAATCTGACTATTATCCACACAATAATGATGATGATGATGATGATTTGCAAATTTCTTTGATATACTCGTTTAACCCGAAACAAGATTAAACAAAGCAAAACACCACAGTAAAATAATTAAGAGTAAAAGAACATCATAAAAATCAAAAAGAAAAATCAAGTGACGAACCCGGATCCCAACATCCTTAAAATAAAATACGTTTTAAACATTCTCTAGATCCCACTGAACAGTTGGTAAATCCGCAAAGATAAGCACGAGTGGAACACACCATGGCAAGATCTAGAACGCGCCCAGAAATCAAACAAAAGAAAGGGACGAATCCATGAAAAGAAAAAAACTCACAGAGGCGTAATCAGGATGATTAGCAGTCATAGCAGCGGCAGTCTCAGCAGCCAATTCATCAAGCTGGCTAGTGGTGACACCTTTGTAGACACCAGCACAGACCTTTTGAGACACAAGAACAGGGTCACAGTGGTCAATGCTAAGGCCATAGCTAAGCTTCTTCAATCTAGCAGTGATCTTGTCAAAGTGGACAGTCTCTTGTCTCCCATCTCTCTTGACCACATACATTTTTGCTCCTGTCAAGAGTTTTATCAAGCAGGTTTTGGGCACAGGGAAAAAATAGAAGGATGAATGCCTTGTTATATAGGGGGAGAGACCAAGAGGCTTGGTGGGCTTAATTTTTAGGAGTTTTAGGTTGTCTTCCCTCCTCCAAAGATTAAATTTTTAATTTTAATTTTTTTTGGAATTTGAAATCTTGGCGCCAAATAGTTATTTTTTCAGATTAAGAGAGTGGCTCTGCCGGGTAAATTTTGGAGCTGGCACTGGCATGGCTATGAGTAGGCAGGGTGCTGTGGGGCCCGCACTATTTGTTGTATTTTTTTTTGTTTCCCTCCATTTTGAAATTGAGGGTCGAAATCTCGCTTAGATCATAAGAAGTAATATTTACCTTTAATCGATTGAAAAAAAAAAAAAAAAAAAGTATGATGATTTGGACTGAGTTAGGTAGGTGCTCGTGTTTGGCGCGGTTTTGAAGCGCGCGGGGAGGTGGCGGGGTTGATGTGGACACGTGTGAATGGTTATTTGTATTTACTTTTTAGCTGGAGCATTTAAATGGCACTTTTTTTTGTAATTATAACCTTAATTGTTCCGGGTTTTTAGGGCGCCACTCCTTTTTCTGTTTTTGTCAAGCTAATTCTTTTGGCTGGTGTACTGTTCAATTATTTTATAATATTTATTTTTCTCTAGTCTAATATAGATTGTTTTGAATTATTTATAAATGAATAAATTTTAATATTTATTAAATTACTATGTTTAATTTTTAAAAAATCTGAATATTTTTATACCGAGTTTGAACACTTCAATAGATTATATCAACATCTCATACAATATTTGATAACAAATCTTACGAATTCTTATCTCATTTCTAATGAGTTAATTTTTTTTAGTTTAATAAATAATATATTTAATTTTAACTTATACTAAAATTAATTGAAAAATACATCACTGTCTATAAATAAATAAAAAATCATAAATTATTCCATGCAAGTAAGTCCCACAAATCTCCATACTGGTACTATTTAAAGCTGCATTCAACAATGTATGCATATAATTTCAACCAAACATTTTTCTATAAAATATTAGATAATTTGTAAGTTAAATGAACCTGTTACAACTTGAGTCCTTGATTCACTAAAGTCTAATCTTAATATAGATGCAGTTTTTGTTTGCAAATATGTGTAATGAATTTCTGATGGTTTAAAGGTTGTACGATTCACAAGTGTCTCATGCCTCTCAAATATTAACTCCATTCGTTATGGACAACAAAGAAAAACATATATTATAGCATTGTTCTTACAGAGAGAATATTGGTAGTTGATTTTTGTTTTCTTTTTTTAGGCAATGATAGTTGAGTTAAATTAGTAGAGGTTAATCTCAAGCAATTAGTTCAGTGTTTAAGTAGATTTTTTTTCTTAATTTTATAGATTTAAACAGTAAAATCAGCAAGTAGAAAAAACCATTAAAATTTATTTGAATGCCTAGGCCAATATAAAAAGTGCATTTTTAAAATTGATTGGGAAAGAATTTAGTCTTGATTGACACATAAACTAATGCGAGAATATTCTTATTGTGGTGTTGTGGATTATTTTATATCGATCTCAATTAAAAGTATTATGAAACAAAAGAAATTATGAAATGGTTGAAAACCGAGACTATAAGGTTGTACTATCTCTCTTACTCTAAATTGGACGATTAAAATTACTACTTGCACTAGAATGCAATGACCTAGAATCTCTTATAAAAGTTTCTAAGCTACCTAAGAAGTCTAGGTTGCAAGGTTGGAATGCAAATATATGACAAATGTAATTACTAAAAACTAATATTAAGTACACGACAACAATATCTATATTCAAAATATAAACTAACTTCCATTAACAACAAGTATGCAAATTATGGATTGCAAGATTAAACATAACTAAAATTGATAAACATCAAATTAAAAATGTTTACAAAGGATAATGACTTTAAAAATATAAAGACTTATGAACATAGAAACTAATGAACAAACATCAATTAGAACTCTAAATATCGAGAGATTGGATATGTGTTGCAATAAAAAAAGCAATCGATCCATAAATCATCATCAATATACTATTACTTGTCTACTTGATTACTATGTACAAACTATAGCCTACTGTGTTTTAAATATTGAAATGATTTGAGAGATAATACTAATAATTTGTAAGATTATTGTTGTTATATTGTGTTTGTTGTGTTGTCTCCTAGTTACGAGTCGATATTTATAGCCTTTTAATTCTTCTACATCCTTCTTCACTTGGTCACATTCTTAAACTACAATACTCTATAACTTCCTTCCTTGGGCTGCAATGCTCTTATGTCCAGTTCCAGTCATTCAAATTAATTATCTTTTTATTAGTTTTTTTCTTTTGAATAAGACTCAACTTCCCACGTTCTTTGCTTATATTTCTATCTTTTAAATATATAGTTGTTTTGGGCCTCTTCTTTGGATGGGCTTGCTCTTGTGGACTTGGCCTTGGGCACGCTAATGGCTCTTAAGAGCCATACAAATTAAAATACGTTCAAATATACCATTATGTATTAAACCCAAAAGGGTCGGAGACCTTAGTTATATTGAGGAGTGATAAGGTTAATGATTAATGCTCCATGATATAGTTAGGAGGATGAGTTTGGATTTCACTTCTAATGGTTTATTTGGGATGAGTGTCGGTCTTGGTGTGTATAATGATATGTTTGATTGCTTTTGTGTTATAAAGAATTAAATACAAATGGTTAAGTTATTATATGATTTGTGATAAGATCACAATCGTAAGGTGCTCACTATTTTTATGTGATTTGAATAATTTATGATATGGCTAAAGTCACAAAGGACTCGTTATTTTATTTAAATGAGTTATGTATGACTACGATCACAAGAGACTCATTATTTTATTTGAATGATTTATGATATAATTGCGGTTGCAAGAGACTCGTTATTTTATTTCGGTGATTTATAATATGGCTATAGTCGCAAGGGACTCACTATTTTATTTGTATGATTTGTGATATGGTTGCAATCGTAAGGGACTCGTCATTTTATTTCAATGATTTGAAATATGATTGCATTTACAAGGGACTTACCTTTTTTATAGTGATTTGAATGATTTGTGATATGGTTATAATCACGAGGGACTCACCTTTTTTATGATGATTTAAATGATTTATGATATGGTCTGTAGTTACAAAAGACTTTCCATTTATTATGATTTCTATTTGCTTCAATATTTGAATGATTTTTGGTTTTATGTGAATCAAAGTCTGTAGATGGCTTCCCACTCATATAGACAAAGCTATTGATAGCTTCTAAATATTTAAAATGACTTACTTTTTGTATGAATCGCAGCTATCAATGGCTTTGCACTTGTGTTGATGAAGCTAGTGGTAGCTTCCAAATATTTGGAATGACTTTTTGTCTATATGAATCGAAGCCGTCCACGACTTTCTAATTATGTGGATGAAGTTATCGGTGGTTTTCTAAATTTATGAAATGAAGTTATCAATAACTTTCTATTTGTATGGATGAAGTTATTGGTGACTTTCGGTTCGTGTTAATATGGACTCCTAATCCTTAAAAGACTTGCCTATTTATCGATACATGTTTGCAGTCATTAAGAGTTAGCCATAATTTCAACTTCTATAACCATTTCCCTTTTAGAGTATGGGTATAGGCCTTCGACCAACCTAAACACTAAATTATTCAATCAATTTATCTTAAATAAAATAAATTCACTCAATTCGGCATAAAAATCATAACATAGCAAGACTAGACATTAATTTTTACAAGCATACAATACAACGTACCTCAAATAGGACGGGATGGTGGTGATGTTAATTTTTTCTATACGTAACCAATCTCTTACCCGGATATTTACGCATGCTAGTTTTGTTTAGGGTTTTTTAGGCTTTACTAATTGCTAGGTGGTAACTCTGTTCATTTTACGAGCCTTAGTTAACGGTTTGGTGACTTCGCTAGGGACATGCCATGCTAGGTTTTAGCTTTAAATACATATGTTAAAGAATCTTTGATTATATGATTATGCTTCTATGCGTATGTGTTTTGAGTGAATGATTGTCTTTTAATTGTTTGTTATGTGTGTTGTGAAAATATATTTGTATGTATGTGTTGTGTTGTGAAATTGTGTTTGTATGTATGTGTTATTTGCATTTTTCTTTTACAACCTTCAAGGACACTAGGTTATGGCTTTCAAGTCCTCTAAGGACTAGGAGTTGCAATGTATGTGGGTTTTTTTTTTTTATCTTATCTTTGTAAATCTTAAACCTTATATAATAGGACTCAACTTTATCCTCTCACTAAAATATCTTACAAGCTTTTAAATTAAACCGATTGACCTAAATTCTTTTAGCTCAATTACCGGAAAAACTAAAACAAAATGCTAAAGTACTTGTAGCGTTTTTACTATTCATTTACTATTCACACTCATTTTTATTTTTTTTTTTGTCTTGCTTTGCCTATAACTCGAGTTAGTTTTTTTTCTCTCTTTCTTTTTTTCCCCTTGCCTTGCCTTGCACTGTAGCTCGATTTTTTTTCTTTTTCTTTCTCTTGCTTGCTTCAAGCCTCTCTTTTGGCTTTCAATTAATTTTACATTTTAGTCCCTATTTTGTAACCTTTTTTTATTTTAGTTATTAAAATTTTATTCTTTTATAAAACAAAGTTTATATTTTAGTCCCTAATTCTTTTATATTTTTTTAGAATAAATATAATATCCGAAACACAATTCTAGCTCTCTCTTTCTCATCGAATTTATATATGCAATAACATTATTTTCATTAAAAAATCATAAAAATAATCAATTATATAAATTATAATAATATATTTTAAAAAATAAAACAATCGGGTTCATAAAAATAAAATGTTATTTCAAAAGCCATATATAAAAAAGTCAAATTTATTAACAAATAAAATCAAATAAAATTTAAAAACTAATTCGATGAGAATTTTAATAAGAAACAAAAAATTAAAAAAATTATTT